TTTAAATAAAACTGTGATTTTTTTCCCTCATTAAAAGAGATCACTATAAGTGCCTAGAATCCTCTATCTAGCTATATTGTAAAAGGTTACCAAATGAAACACAATGTGTCAGTTTCCAAAGAAAGTAATTTTGTCTTCAAAAAAAGCATAAATGTATTTCATTTAAATTTAATAACTTAGCTTTTACTACTGAGAATGTCTCAACACAGGACTCAGTATACTTGCTGCTTTATTGTTAGCTTAAAGACTTTTAAAATAATTTTTTTCTTTTGCAGACTAGGGACATGACTTCGTTCAGTTAGTTTTGGTTTTCTGAGACAGTTTCAAGTAACCCAGGTTGGCTTTGAACTGCTGATCCTCCTGCATCAACCTCCTCAGAAGCAGGAATACAGGCATTAGAGACAGGCATCGCAACACCTTGCTATCATTTAGTTATTTAAAAGGGTATAATTAACTCCAGCAATAGGTACAAATGATTCTTGAAATAAAGAGAATACACAATAAGGCTCAAGGTGGATGCCCCTACTTTGGAACTGTGGCTTTTCAAACCAATTAAACTCTTTTCACATGAGAAAAACTCAAAAATGATGAAAGCTATAAATTGTGATAAAAAGTCAGAATTCAAAATTGCTTCTACAAATAAAACTAACCATAGACTGTCACTTGGGCTTTCTCATCTATATTCCCACCCCAGCTCATCATTAGGATTAAACAAGGAATAATGCAAAATAAAAAAGGTGAATCACAGAAACTATTTCTCAGGAATAAAGCTTCAATAACTCATATATAGCATATCCTAGGTATTACCACCTTCAGACTAGATTTTGAAATTTATTTCTGCTTGGAATCTAAAACTGTCTCTTCTCATGGCTAATGACACAAAAGCAGAAAAATGAGGCAATAATTCAGAAAACTAAAGCCTAATAAAGAAATTCCCCTAAAATAAAATTAACAGTAATTCTGGCTTGTTGGTTTGACTTATTTTCTCAGTTAACTTACTAGATTCTGTTTTATATCTTATGTAAATAAGATCTACTATGCAATAACTTCTAATGGTTTCTTCATCTGAAAAACCAACTCAGCAATGCAGTCAAACTCAGTACCTCTGTCTCCATGCTCCAGCCTTTGATGCTCTTTGCCTCTGTGGTATTTTCTACCTCCAAATGCCAAGCTGAGCATGTGGCATTCTCATTCAAATCTATGTCCTCGAGATTTTTCTAGAGTTTTCCAGGCTCTTCTAGCTAGTCTCCACTTCCCACCATTCTTCCCTCTTCTTACTCATTCATATGCAGATAGCTCATGCTTTACCCTGTTTGTACACAGGTATTCACTCCATGGGATAGCATCTTCATGCTTGGTCTCTAGATCCCAAAGACAAGTCCTGCTCTCTAACACTGACACACAGCAGTGTGAACCTTGTTTGCCTTACAAATTATACCACAACACTTAGAACAAACCTCCAGTCACCCAAAAAAGACTTCTGCACTAAAAGCCTGCTTCTCTGGGATAAACATTCTCACTTTTCAATGTTTGGATTACCCCTCCCCTTCCACTGTATCTACTAAAACAAACAAACAAAAATAAAAAACATAGAAACCAGCCAACCAGCCAACAAAACCCTACTAGTTCAAAATTTCTCTTTAGTATTCAAGTCAGAATGGCAACTGCCCTTTCTTGGACCAGAAGGTGCATAAGGGACTTCTCTTGTAGATGAATTTCTAAACAGTCTTATTAAATAAGAAGACTTGGCTGGGCGGTGGTGGTGCATGCTTTTAATCCCAGCACTCGGGAGGCAGAGCCAGGCAGATCTCTGTGAGTTCGAGGCCAGCCTGGGCTACCAAGTGAGTCCCAGGAAAGGCGCAAAGCTACACAAAAAATAAAAAAAGAAAGAAAGAAGACTTAAATAATATTACTTTTTTTTTTTTTTTTTTGGTTTTTCGAGACAGGGTTTCTCTGTGTAGCTTTGCGCCTTTCCTGGGACTCACTTGGTAGCCCAGGCTGGCCTCGAACTCACAGAGATCCGCCTGGCTCTGCCTCCCGAATGCTGGGATTAAAGGCGTGCGCCACCACTTACATTTTTATTATTACTAAATAATAAGATTACATTTTTAGATACTTATTATATTGATCTGAGTAGGAGATATAAAGGTAGGTGTTTGTACACATGGACGAGTGTGTGAGTGTGTGTGTGTGTGTGTGTGTGTGTGTGTGTGTGTACAAATAACACTGAATTACACACTAAAACCCGAATGATTTACTTTATATGAAAAACACTACCTTTCGTAAGGCTTTGGATGAGGTTAAGGACAGATGTAATGGTTAACCTTCATTGTCATTTGACTAGATTTAGAAACACTATGGAGGGGCTGGAGAGTTGGATTTAGGTGACTGGGACTGGTTAAGAGCACTGGCTGCTGTTCCAAAGGACCTGGATTCAATCCCCAGAAATGACATGGCAGCTCAAAACTTTCTGTGGCTCCAGTACCAAAAGATCCCACACCCTCACACAGACAAACATGCAGACAAACACCAATGCATATAAAATAAAAGTAAATTTTAAAAACCACTATGGAAACCACTAAGCACGTTTCCAGCAAGGTTTAAGTGGCGAAGACCCATCCTGGACGTGCAGGTACTATCCCACAGGCTGCAGCAAAGGAAGAAAAAGGACAGAACAAGCTGAGCACCAGCATGCATCTCTCTCTGCTTCCTGACTGCAGATGCAATGTGACCAGCTGCGGCATGCTCCTGCAGCCATGACTTCCACACTTCAAACTGTGAGCCAAAATTAATCCTTTCTTCTTAAGTTGCTCGCGTCAGGTGTTTTGTTAAAGCGACAAAAAAAGTAACCAGTACAACATTCTAGCCCAAAATATAGCACTTTGGCATCTGAAAAATAAAAACAAGAAAACCACTCTCACCCACCTACCCGGTCTGCCTTTTCCTTGACCCTAGCCATAAACATGGGACTGCTTTCCTGAGCTTCCCCTGTAACCGATCTTACAATTCTCATGTGAGACGTGCCAAGAAGAAAAGAGCATCCTTATCTGTAGGGAAGGGAGGAAACCCTGAGTGAGTGAAGTCCTGAGTGAATATGTGTTGCTGACAAAGGCTCAGCCATGTCAGGGCACCACCTCAGGTTCAGAGGAATGGCAAAGCCTTGTTTGGGGGACCAAGTGTGAATGGTGTGTGCAGAGAATGTCCACCATAACCAGATATTTATGGTCTGAGAGGTCTGCCCCCTACAGAGACTGCTCCCACCAAAATTAGCTAAACTTGTCTTCTTGATCATGCTGTAAACCATAAATTCTGTTCAACTCTATAAAATAAACCCTGAGCTTCTGGCATGCTGAAGTTTTTTCAGTCAAGAGACCAGACCACCCAATCCCAGCTTTTCTGTTTCTTTCTGACAGCCTGTGTCTGTCTTTTCCTCATTCTCTCACCATCCTAGTCAGATCCAAGTCCCTGGAGCAGAGGATAGACACACCACTTATGTCTGAAGATAAAAGTCACAAAGAAGAGTCTAAACAAATGAACTTGTGCTAAATCTTCCATAGTATTGTTAGGCCATATTCTTTCTCCTATCTTATCCCTCCACAACTCTCTATTATTAATCAAACCTAACACAGAAACATTCAGGTTTAACCAGTTTTTAAGGATTTCATTATGAAGGCTTCCATATCATATAAACTAAGTAGGTAAAACTGTATGCTTTCTTCTTGCTAATCTGCCTTATGATGGGGACCTTGACCCTGACCTTGCCAGTGAGTGAAGAAGAGATGCAGTTCCTCCTCTACAACTCTGACCCAATAAACCAACAAAAGGGTTCATGCTTGAATCCTAGGACTCTTTGTCTAGATATTCCTTTGCCCTATGTTTATGCATTTAAAGCAGGGCAGTGTATCAGAGACTCACGTTGATTTTCAACAAAAACAGACATGCCCTATTTACTGGAGAAATGACGTAACGTCTGGGTTTTGCTTCAACACACTGCAGCAGGAGTCATAAGTATATACAGGTTCTTTATGCAATTCTACTTTTATATATGTCTGAAATTTACTATTTAAAAATATGTATTTTAAACTCCAGCAAAGGAATGTTGGGAAGACAGATGAAATAAAATTGGCAAAATCTGGATACTGTTTAAACTAAATGATGTATACAGGAGATCCATTTTAGTCTCCTTACTCTTGCTCAACACTGAAAATATTCATAGTAAAATGTTAAACTATGATTAATATATATGTGTCCAAGCCTCATTTCTGGAGATTTGAGGGGAACTATGGAGTATCTGAAGTGATTCTGAATTACACCACTGTTTGAGAATCTCAGCTTTTCATTCCTTTGACAATTATTCACTGAGATGCTATTACATATCAAATCCTATGCTTTTCAATGAACAACTATTTGTAAAGAAACTGTAGAGTAATTCAAGGGGGAAGCATTTCAAATCACACTGCATGATGTTATAAATACCACGATGGGGTGCATTCAGGATACCATAAATGTAGATACCGGCCATCATAAGGTTCTTGTGAGGACTCCATTTTCTTCATCTTTTAATCCCAGATTCCTAATGTGATATCTTGAACCCAGGAGCTGAGTAAGAATGTGCTTAAACCTCATCCTAGGACTGCTACTAAATGCCACAATCACTGAATTGCCTCTAAAATTCCACTGCCAAGGACTTACTATTTCTCTCACTTACTCGTTTTTAGAGGTAATGAATGTTACATTCTCGGAGAAACATGCCATGCACATAAGTGGAACAGCCCCTATGAACATGAGCCCAGACGAAGGCAAATGCACAAATGACTGTTGTTATCTTGGCCCCATTACAAATGATAAAGACTTGAGAACTCAGTTACAGCTTGTAGACAGAGGAGCCAGGCACACAATTCACTCATAAGTACTCTTACTGCTTTAAATGAAGTCAAGGAGTCACCCTAAAGTTCTACCCTTTAAGACTTGCTTAGGAGAAACATGGATTAGAGAAAACCTATTAACTTTGTTCCTAGCATCTTCCCCCACCCCCCACCTCCCACCCCGAGCTGAGGACCGAACCCAGGGCCTTGTGCTTGCTAGGCCCTAGCAAGCACTCTACCACTGAGCTAAATCCCCAACCCCCTGTTCCTAGCATCTTAAATATCATCCTGGGGATCACAAAAACCAGAGTTCAAATTTATAGTGCCACTGAAGGTAAAATTCAGGTCAGTTTTTATTTAAATAAGCCATCCTTTATTTTCTCTAATCAACTGTTAAATACAGGTTAAGCAGAAAGCAGATAGAACCTCCAGGTTTCATTTAGGTAGAAATTCTCGTCAAAATAAGCTTCAATACAGGACTTTCTAAAATATCAGGACACATGGAGGATTAGAATGCTTCTTAACATGTGACAAATTCTCCTGTTTAACTAGATTACACACCTCCAAAGACATGTAAAACTCTGAAAACTGCCAAGCTAATCGATACTATTTTAGAAAGAGATCTAATAAGAAGTATCCTAAGTAGAACCAACTTAGTTGAAAGAGACACTTTAAAATTTTAATTTTACCTGATCAAGGTGGGGTGCTGTTGGCACATGCTGAAGTTTTTTCTGTAAACTAAGAACAACCAATTACAGATTCAAAGATCAGTACACTTCTGATTTAATGTTATCCATTACCCAAAGACACAAGGCCAATTACGGAACAAACATTTCATAACTGAATCTACCACAAAGTTCCAATTTACTTACTCTTCATATATTCTAAATTTATACATATATGCAATCAATATCTGTATATAACAGTTGAGAGATCTAAGATATATGCAGAGAAAAGCTGACAGATCTAAGATATAAAAAATGCTTTTAAATGTATACCCAATCACATCGTATCATACAATGAAGAGAAAAACTAATATTTTAGCAACATTCGATTGTTAATTGTCAGTAGATTTCTTTAAAATCCCAGTAGGTTAATACAATAATTTCAACAGGCTTAGAAATATATGCATGGCCATTCTGTAGTGCTCCAAGTTTCTTCATTCTCCATGCTTCCTGATAGGAAAATATGTTGATAGCTTTAAAAAGTTAGGAATGTAAATTTTCCTCTGTTAAGGGTTTCCATAGGATGTACATATATATTATTAAAGGACATATAGAATCCAAGTACAAATTTCCTATATAGTCAGTTACCAGTTAAGAAAAAAAATGAAACTAGGCATAGTGATGCACACCCTTAATCCCAGCACTCAGGAAGCAGAGGCAGGCAGATCTCTGTGAATTCAAAGCCAGCCTTGTCTACATAGGGAGTTCCAGGACAGCCAGAGCTACATAGCGAGAGCCTGTCTCAAAAAATAAAATAA